GTGAAATGGTACAATATGGTAGAAGCATGTGGCAGAGAAACCTGGTCATCTCATGGTAGCCAGGAAGCAAGGAGAAAGAAAGGAGGGTACTAGGGTCCCTATGTCCCCTTCAAGGGCACAGTTCCAATGACCCAACTTCCCCCAACTAGGTCCAACCATTTTTTGGTTTTATTAGTGTATTACAATTTTACATAAATATGGGGTAGGCCCCAAATATTAATAGTTCTACCACTTCTCAATAGTGTCATCAGCTGGGTACCAGCCTTTAACATACAGCCATCAGGGGACATTTAAGATCCAGAATGTAACACCTTTCCATGTAGTGAAAAATAAGAATCATATCCTAATATTGAGAAGTGTTTACTGTCCTTTGATTTAATAACTGGTTTTATCTTTGATACTACTTACAAATTGTACAAGTGTATAATTTTCCCAAAGTAAAGCCTTCTTTTAAGTACACAATAATCAGCTTTTTCTTATAATGCACAAGAAGTTATTTTTCTGAAAATAGAGGGCCATTGCTTTGAGGATTTTTCAAATGCAAGTTCTTTAATTTATTTGTTTACTTTTCTGGTGCTGGGGATGGAACCCAGGTCCTTTCACATGCTACATAAAGTGCTCTACCACTGAGCCACATCCCCAGCAATTTCTCTAATTCTTTTTGTAGTTCTCCCCTTTTAAAACATTTATTCTTTACCCTTTATTAAGAATTGATGCATCTGCTGTTTTAAAGACATTTTAAGGTCGTCTTGGGAATATATATATTATGCTCTCAGATCCTGAAATAGCTGCTCTACAGTACAGACCAAAAATTTTTAAGTTCTAAAGATGAACTTTCTAATTTCCTCAATTTTTACATGTTTTCAGTTCTTACAGGTTTCTGAGTATTATATTCTAACCCATGATTTTCCTTCCTCAGTGTATCAGATTGTGATGTTATAGTTATAATCACTGCTAAGAAATATATTTCCTATTAACTCTTGTCTTGAGCCTTTGAAATGCCAAGGCTAAGGTCCTTCTGGTTGTATTAAAAGCCCAGAAGGTTATGGAGTAAAGGTAGAGGCTGGAGCAAGAAGGAGTTTTCCATTTGTGCAGTTTTCAGTCATTCGTGTGTTGAAAAGGTTAAAACTTCTAAAGCTCCAAGTAGGATGCCTGCTTGTTGACCTAATTTAGAGAAATTAAATGTTTCCAAAGGAATTTGTTTACGAATGTGCAGAACAGGTGTACCTGTAGTACTAGCTACTGTAGAGGCTGAGGCAGGAGGATCACTTGAGTCCAGGAGTTCTGAGGCCAGGTTCAGTAACACAGCAAGACCCCCATCTCAAACAAAAGCAAAATCAACAAAAAAGCCAGGCATGTCTATAATCCCAGTGGCTCTGGAGGCTCAGACAAAAGGATTACAAGTTCAAAGCCAGCAACTTAGCAAGGCCCTAAGCAACTTAGTGAGATCCTGTCTCAAAATAAAATATAAAAAAGGGCTGGGGATGTGGCTCAGTGGTTGAGTGCCCCTAGGTTCAATCCCTGGTAAAAAAAAAAAAAAAAAAAAAGAATATACAGATTTATGTCATTGGGATAGCTACTGCTGAGGACAGATTTATTGTCCTTGTGTGGTTATACAATGATTTATTCAATCAATTCCCTACTGACGTGTGGATTGCTTCCAAATTTGTTTGTACAAATAATGTTGAATAAAAAGCCTTATGCATATGTTACTTCAAATCCATTCACATGTAATTCACTTTTGATTCACAGAAGGATTTCTGGACCAAACTCCAAGTGCATCTTTGCTAGATACTGTGCCCTAGCCACTGTTGTAGCATATAAAACTCCTGGCTAGGATTTCTGTGACCATGTTCTTACTCCGAATAGTGATGTTGGAGTACAACAACTTCTCACAGAAATGACACTGGAGTCATCTCTGGAAAGAACAGGCAGACATGACCAACCAATGTGACACAGACACTTATCTTCCTTTCCTTTTCTGTTGTCCCTTTCCTCTGTCAGCATCACTCTCTTCAGGGCCTTTGTGAGGCCCCAGGGAACCCTGGTAATGCCCCTTCTATCCCTGGCCTCTCTCTTGTGTCTTTGAAAGGTCTTCTCACTTCATCAAAAAGCATCTCTTACATTTCCCTTGAGACCTTCTCTGAAGATTTATAAATAATCCACCAGGAAGTTTTAATGACATCATATATTACTGAATGGGGATTTCAGTTAAACACTGCCTTACCCAAAGGACCAACCCTAATGGTGGAAATTTCCATACCCAAAGTAGGCCTACTGATAAGTCTATAGGGAGACTTGGCTCATGCTCCCTGTCTTTCTCTGAAGGCAAAGTACTGAATCCTCCTCTAGCAATCTTCTCTAACCATAGGCCTATACAAGGGGTGCGTCGATTGTTTCTTTACCTTTTACTCATATTGAGAAAATCCTGAGTTGAAAAGTCTGGTAATAGAAATATGGACCAATGTCTGATGAAAGAATGGTCCTTTGTACTCTTTTTTGAATAAACTCACCAAAGCCCTATAAGAAAACTGTTATTCTGGGAGTTAACTTTACTAAGAGTTTGGAAGAACAGTGGAATGAATCTGATCTAACTTTCCTATGAACATATGTGAATATAACACAGTGAATCTTACCATCATGTATATCCACAAGACACTAATTTTAAAAACTATAAGCAAATAGCAGAAAGATCAGTAGGGCAGATGGAAGGGAATGGGGGAGGGGTGGGGAAGGAAAGGGGAAGTATGGGGGAACTGAATTAGAGCAAATTATATTCCATGCTTTTATAACGATGTCAAAATGAATCCTAATGTTATGCATAACTAAAAAGAATCAATAAAAAAGATCAATATGCCTATTTTACATATCTATAAAGCAGTAAACAATGCAAGTCCAATTGAGAAAACTATTAATGTTTGCAATGTAAACAAAATATAAATGTAATTATGATATATCTTATAAAATATATATATGGAATCATTTAAATACAAAAAAAAAGAGTTTGGATTTGAAGACTGGTTAATTAGCAGATATTTGAGGGTCAAACCTCCATCTGAGAGACAGGAGCTAACAGATAAATCCATTCCCCTTTCTTTGTTGTCCTAACCCTCCACCCCCAACTTCCTCCTGCCTCCACCAGCCAGGGAAGTCCTGAGTCAGGGTTGACAGAGCTTCTTTAGGACACACTCTCACAGACTGAGCAATCAATCTGCACTAAGAGGCAGCCAGTTTGCTAACACACCATTGTATTGGTTCTCTGTCCTTCTCTACTTCATGTGCCCAGTGCAGTAACAATATATATGCCCTCTACCTCTGCCTCTGCTTTTTGAGGAAATCAATCTAAAACATAAAATGTAAAAGGAGTGAGAGAAGTTACACTGGTTCTAATCAAGAAGTGCTGATAGAAAGGAAGAGTCAGACATTGGCAAGCAATGATTCAAAGCAGGATATAGCTCAACACAGACTGGGAAAAGAATATAGGCAAGGAAAGCTCCTTAGGCTAGGAAACATCAACCATCCTTTGTTAAAAACTGAGGGGAAAATTTCATAGGTTAAAAAAAAAACCCACATAGTCAAAAGAAATATAACAAATAAAAGTATGCAAATTATAGTTACATGCAAAAGTTCTTAACAATCGAGATGGAAAAAACACAAAAATACCTAAGAAACATGATCAGAGGGTTCATAGAAAAGAAAAGCAATGAATTTAAAATACATGAAAAAATGTTCAACTTCACTCATAAGAAAGGAAATGCAAATCACAACTGCACTGAGATACTATTTCTTGTTTATCTGGCAAAAATTCAAGTTTCAAAATGCACTCTGTTGGTGAGACTGTGGGAACATAGGCACACTTATTCATTGCTGGTGGGAGTGCAAAATGTTTCAGCCCCTATAGAGGGGAATTTGGCATTATGTAGCAAAAAGGCAAATGCTTTTACATTTTGATTCAGCAATTCCACTTCTAAGAATCAAATGTAAATTATATCAGAACAGATTTGAAATAATAAACATAAGGTTATTTACTGAGAATTATTTATACAAACAATAGTCTGGGAGCAATCCACATATCCATCAATGAGAACAGACTGAATAAACCACTGTACAGCCACACAAGGGATATTATATTGTCATTTAAAAAAGTATGAGAATCTCTGTATTAGTTTACATGGCTGCTGTACCAAATTACTACCAACTTTATGGCTGAAAAAAGAAAGTTATGGGGCTGTGGTTGTGGCTCAGCGGTAGAGTGCTCACCTAGCACGTGGGGCACTGGGTTCGATCCTCAGCACCACATACAAATGAAATAAAGATATTGTTTCCAACAACAACTAAAACAAAATATTAAAAAAAGAAGAAAGTTATTCTGTCAGAGTTCTGGAAATCAGAAGTCCAAAATCAACATATCAGCAGGGATGGATAGCTCCTTTTTTTGTCTTTTTGGTACCAGGGATTGAACTTGGGTGCTCAAACACTGAGCCACATTCCCAGATTTTTTATTTTTTATTTTGAGATAGGATCTCACTAAGTTGCTGGGGGCCTGGCTAAATTGCTAAGGCTGGCCTTAAACTTGTGATCCTCCTGTCTTAGCCTACTGAGCATCTGGGATTACAGAAGACCACCACCATGCCCAGTGGGATGGCTCCTTGGGGCTTTGAAAGGGAAATTGTTTTATACTTCCCTCCTGGCATCTGGTATAATCCTTGATATTCTTTAGCATGTAACTGTGCCATTTTAATCTCTACCTTTATCTTCACATGGTCTTCCTGTGTCTCATATATCTTTTATTTTCTTTTTAAATTTTTTTTAGTTGAAGATGGACATAATACCTTTATTTTATTTATTTTTATATGGTGCTAAGGATCAAACGCAGTGCTTCACACATGCTAGGTGAGCACTCTATCACTGAGCCACAACCCCAGCCCCTCTTTTCTTTTATAAAGACACTTGTGTTTAGATTTTGTGCTCACCTCAATCCAAAATGATCTCATCTCAAGATGGTGGAGGAAGAGCAAAGAAAAAAGATCCCTTTGGTTCCAGAAAATCTCCTGAAAAAGAGGAAGGCTTATCAGGCCCTCAAAGCTACCCAGGCAAAGCAGGCACTTTTGGCAAAGAAGGAGAGAAAAGGAAAAGAATTCAGATTTAAGCGACTGGAATCATTTCTACATGATTCTTGGTGGCAGAAACGTGACCGCGTGCGCATTAGACGACTAGAAGTGAAACCTCATGCTTTGGAAGTACCTGATAAACATTCCTTGGCCTTTGTTGTACGCATCCAAAGGATTGATGGGGTGAGTTTACTGGTGCAGAGGACCATTGCAAGACTTCGTCTGAAGAAAATATTTAGTGGTGTCTTTGTTAAAGTCACCCCCAAAAGCCTAAAAATGCTACGGATAGTAGAACCTTACGTGATCTGGGGATTTCCAAATCTGAAGTCTGTCTGGGAACTCATCTTGAAACGTGGACAAGCAAGGGTGAAGAATAAGACCATCCCCCTGACAGACAACACAGTGATTGAGGAGCATCTGGGGAAGTTTGATGTCATTTGTCTGGAAGACCTCATTCATGAAATTGCCTTCCTGGGGAAGCATTTTTGGGAGATCTCTGGATTCTTGTGCCCTTTCCACCTCTCTGTTGCTCGTCATGCTACCAAAAATAGAGTGGGTTTCCTCAAGGAGATGGGCTTACCTGGCTATCGGGGTGAACGCATCAATCAGCTCATCCGCCAGCTGAACTAAACCCAGAATACCTGAAAGCTGTGCATCGGAAGCATGTGTTCTGTTGGATGGAATTGTTGTCAAGTATCTTCACAGAAGATTATTTTCTGCCTTAAGAAACTGGAAAGAAGGAATTGGGGAAGAGACAGTAGGTTATGATCATGGCAGGCACCTCTCATCACAGCCCAGTTCCAAGGAAAATTGTTTTCCACATTGACCACCTCTGCTCTGCGGTTTAATATTGGTGAATGAATAACCCAGCCATGTATACAAGTCTCCCTAAGCCTCTTGCAGCAGTGGATCAAGTCCAGGAGCATACTTGAATCTAGAGGTCCCAAGAGCCTTGTTTTGAAAAGACTTAAAATACTTGGGAAGAAAGCACAAAAACCAAGTACTCGTATGTCTCTGTTGTTTCGCCTGACAGTTTTGTGAACTATCATACTTGCCTTGGCTCTAAGTGTATGGGGAGCTTTTCTATCCTATCCTGCAACAGACTTAAGTTCCCTTCACTAGCTCAGAGGTTGAGAAAGGAGGAACCTTTCACCCTGAACACAACATACTCAAAATTTTGCTTAGAATTTCAGGGTGTTCATAGACCCTTCTCTTTCAGGATTTACACATCTTCTCTGAGGAAGTCTTGTTCTTATTAGCATGTGGTCACTCAGGCCGTGATCTTGCTAGTCTTCTGGTTCCATGACTTGCAGAAGACCAAAGTTCACCCAGCCAATTGTGTTTCTATAAAGAACACAGTGGCGGGCCAGGTGCAATGGCACACACCTGTAATCTCAACAACTCAGGAGGCTGAGGCAGGAGGATTGCAAATTTGAAGCCAGCCTCAGTAATTTAGTAAGACCCTGTCTCGAAAATGTAAAAAAGTGTGTGGGGGGATGTAGCTTAGTGATAAAGCACCCCTGGGTTCAATCTTCAGTGCCAAAAAAAGAATAGAGTAACGGATTTTTCATTTTCTACGTCATCTATAATTACATTACTATTTTCTCCCCTGGGATTCAGGATGCAATTTCCAGGTTTCCCTGATCATCATTCTGCTTAAAATCCAGATTAGGAAGAAGGGAGCCATTTTCTTGTTTTGGCATGAATGAAATTAGCACTATTTTGACTTTTTAGGACCCAGGCAGGCAACTCAGTTGGATTTTTCCCCCCTTATTCTGGACTTAGGAAGTATTGTCCTTTATCTTTCTAGTAATGAGGGAGATCAACAAAGCTTCTGGGGATGCTAATCCTGAAAAAAAGTGGATACTATTTATCTTCATCAGTGTCTACCCTTAAAAGTGGTACTTCCCTCTGAAAAAAAAAAGATTCTTATCTTAACTACATCTACAAAGACCTTTATTCCAAGTAAAACCACATTCTCGGGTACTAGATGGATATATCTTTGGGGGAAAAAAATTACACCCAGTATAGTCCCCGTATACTGACACAGATTAATTTCCAGAACATATCACTAAGTATATAGAGAAAAATGTAGAACATTGTTTAAAATTTGTTTCTGTCTTTTTAAAATTGTCTTTCAGGACAGGTTCTTGCTATGTTGCTCAGGCTAGACTTGAATTCATGATCCTCCTAGCTCAATCTTCTGAGTAGCTGGGATTATAGACGTGTGCTACTGTGGCCTAAACAGTGTTTGTAGTATATTTTGTGTGAGCAAGGTGAAAAAATAAGAATACATACACACATATGCATGTATTTACACATGTGTGTACTTTCAAACAGTATCCCTAGAATAAGCCAGAAACTTATCAAAATGGTGAACTCTTGAGTGTGGGAGACAAAGGGAAAAGACAGGGATACAAAAGAGGCTTCTGAATATACTTTTTAAAATATAGTTTTGGAATGAAAAGACATAGATTGGCAGAATGGATAAAAAAAAAAAGACTCAACTATATATTCTTTGCAAGACACTCAACTTATAAGCAAAGACAACAACAGGCTGAAAGTAAAAAGATGGAAATTAATACATCATGCAAAAGGAGCCTGAAAACAAGTAGGAGTAGCTACTGTCATATCTAACAAAGCAGACTTCAAGCCAAAATTAATCAAGAGACAAAGTCACTTCATTCTGGTAAAGGGAATGATCCAATAGAAAGATATAACAATAATAAGTAATTATGCTCCAAATGTTTGTGCACATAATTACATAAAATAGACACCCTCTAGCCTGGCTGTGGCGGTATAAGAGCTCCCCCAGACATCCAGGTGGGATGGGTCTCCCACCTTGGAGGGGCGAGTCCCCTATACCCTGGTTGCAGTGGTATAGGAGCTCCCCACTACACCCAGTTGGGAGGGGTCTCTCGCCTGGAGGGGAGAGTCTCTGCTACCCTGGCTGCAGCGGTATAGGAGCCCCCACCCCAGGACACCAAGGTGAGTTTTCCAAGGAATCTCCGTACAGGTTTCCAGATTAGCTGCACCAATTTGCAGTCCCACCAGCAATGTATGTGTATACCTTTCCCCCCTCAATCTTGCCAACATTTATTGTTACTTGTATTCTTGATAATTGCCATTCTGACTGATGTAAGATGAAATCTCAGTGTAGTTTTAATTTGCATTTCTCTAATTGCTAAGGATATTGAACATTTTTTCATATATTTGTTGACTGATGGTATTTCTTCTTCTGCAAAGTGCCTGTTCAGTTCCTTTGCCCATTTATTAATTGGTTTTTTTTGGTTTTTTGGTGTTAAATGTTTTGAGTTCTTTATACATCCTGTAGAGTAATGCTCTATCTGAGGTGCTGGTGGCAGACTTTTTTCTCTCTTTACATTTTCAATTGTTCTCTTTGCTGTAAAGAAGCTTTTTAGTTTAAAAAATATGGAACAATTCACAAATCTGCTTGTCATCCTTGTGCAGGGGTCATGCTAAGCTTCTCTGTATCATTCCAATTTTAGTATATGTGCTGCTGAAGCAAGCACTCAGTAAAGACTCTTGGAACCTAAAAAAATATTATAAATCAAATGGACTTAACAGACTTATATAAAAGATAACATCTATCAACAGCTGAATATACTTTCTTCTTAGCAGCTCATGGAACCTTCTCGAAAACAGACCACATTTTAGACCACAAAGCAACTTTTAGCAAATTCAGAAAACAAATCAAAGAACTGATATTATTCCTTGTAATAATGGAATGACATTAAAAATCACCCCCCAAAGAAACCATATAAACACCTGGAGACTGAAAAATAAATGGGTAATAGAAGAAGTTGTGGAGAAATTTAAAAATTCTTAAAACAAGAATAGGGATACAACATACTACAACTCCAGGGACACTATAAAGGCAGTTTTAAAACGAAAGATTATAATTATGAATGCCTACATAAGAAAATCAGAAAAATCTCAAGTAATAAACCTAATGATGTATCTCAAGTTCTGTGAAAAACAAGAACCAATTCCAAAACCAGTACAAAGGAAATAATTAAGATCAGAGCCAAAATCAACAAAAATAGAGAGAATTAAAATATACAAGTTCTTTGAAAAGATAAATAACATGTATAGCCCATAATCAAAAGAGAGAAGATCCAAATTAATAAAATTAGAGATGAAAAAAGAGAAATCGGGGAGATCCAACATGGCGGCCGGCAAGGAAGCAGCACTTTCAGTATCTCCACATTAACCGAATCAGAAACACCCATTAAAACAGCTACATTCTACCTACTGAGGAACTTCTAGCAAAATTCCGCTGAAAGGAGACCTGCCAGGAATTAGTAAGTTATATTAGAGGTGACAGTTGGCCCCAGACAAGTGAATCTTGGCCGGCCACGCGGGCGCAGAGGTCCAATCCCGCAGCCACCGCCCAACCAGCTCTGCAAGCGGCCCCCGGCGGCCCGGGGCAGCGAGAAGGGTCCCCGCCTGGCCCGGCAGACGGCCTGTGCCCTCGCGGCTCTGCTAACGCCCCGCCCGCACGGCTAACGGCCCCCTGCCCGCCCGGCTCTGCAAACGGCCCCGCCCACCCGGCAAACTGGCCCCCCGCCCTCCGGGCTCTGCTGGCGCCCCCGTGGCCAGCGCCGGCCCGGCTCTGCAGGCGGCCCCCAGCGGCCCCGCGCAGCGAGAAGGGTCCCCGCCCGGCAGATGGCCTATGCCCTCCCGGCTCTGCTAACGGCCCCGCCCCCACTGCGAACGGCCCCGCCCACCCGGCAAACGGCTCCCCCCCCCCCCCCGAGACGACGTGAAGGAAATCTAACCAAGCCTTTATGAAATAGCGAACTGGGAACTAAAACCAGAGATTGTGTCAGACCAGAGACAAGCCAGTTCCACCCCTCCCTTCGGACACTCCAGCAAGGAGGCAGGGGCCCGCCATAGCAGAGAGGGGAAGTCACCAAAGTTCGGCCAAAGAGATTCCTTCCCAGCGGAATCTACTTTAGCAGGTGTGTGACTCCCACCCGCATCAGATACAAACAACCGGGAAACTTCAAAATCTCTCCGTGGGCATGACCGTAAGGGCCAAAGGACTTTCGACCCCCAACTCCCAATACTGCCAGTGACGTGGGTGTGACTGTAGGGGCGGAGGGAAGCAGAGAAGACTCCCCACCCCCAACTCCCCCAACCGCCAACTGAGAGAGCATGAGGGTAGGGGCGGAGGGAAACAGAGGACACTCCAGACCCCCAACTCCTCCTACCGCCAGCGGAGTGGTCGTGATTGTAGGGGCTGAGGGAAGCAGAGGGGATCCTCGACCCCCAACTCCCATTACCACCAGTGGCGACACCAATGGTCTTAGCCGCCAGACTCCAAAGGTGTGCCCACCGAAGGGGTCCGGAAAAATTAAACTATTGACTCCCAGAACACAGCTCCACAGCACTGGGGCTTAGATGAATGACAGAGAGAGTGCTCAGTCATTAGGGAAATAGAGCACTCGGAGGGGCTGAAAGTGTAACCAAATCCTTGGAGAACCTCCTCCGGTGCACAGGACCTGGCTGGCTGGCAGGAGAAAGGGGAGGAGGGGCTGTAGAAGTGAAACGGCTCTGGACCAACAGGATTGAGAGACTCCCAGGAGCCGCCTTACAGGGATTGCTGTTGACACATTGAGGGCAAATCTCAGCCCGGAGGGCACAGCTTTGCCTACGGGAAGAGAAGAAAATGGATCTCTAAGACCTAATTTTATTTCTTATTTTATTTTATTTTTTCTCTCCCTTTTTCCCTCTTTCTCTCCCCTTCCAAGTTTTATTGTTCTTTCCATTCTCCTCTATGCTATCTAACTCCCCCTCCTTCTTTCTTTTCAAGAGCACCTTCCTTCCCCTTCCCCCCAACTTTCATCCCAAGCATTACGTCCTCCATTTCGTGTAACTGTCTAAATGCAAACAGGTGAATGTTTTGAGGCCGTCTATAGTGCTCCTAAATACCTAGCTACTACCAACACCCTGATCCAATTGACGGTTAGTATC